TCTTCTCTTCTCTTCTCTTCTCTTTCTCTTCTCTTCTCTTCCTCTTCTCTTCTCTTCTCTCTCCTCTTTCTCTTTATCTTCTCTTCTCTTCTCTTCTCTTCTCTTCTCCTTCTCTTCTCTTCTCTTCTCTTCTCTTCTCTTCTCTTCTCTTCTAATTTCTCTTCTCTTCTCTTCTCTCTCTTCTCTTCTTCTTCTCTTCTCTTCTCTTCTCTTCTCTTCTCTTCTCTTCTCTTCTCTAGCTAAACGTTGCCAGATGGTCCGAATGTTGTGGATGACATGATGTAGCTTGTTGGCCATTGACAGCAAATAACAAACAGCAATAAACAAGAAGAGGAAGCATTAAAAGGAACTGCTGACATTAGCAGTGCCTGGAGTTTTGGCCAGGCATAAACAACGGTCCAGCTCATAATAAAGCAATAAAAAAAGGAGAAAGGTAAATGGCGGTAAGGCCAACTAAAGAGCCACAAATGCTACCTGAACAAGCGTTACACATGGATAGAAAGAGAGAGGGAGGGAGAGAGACATACATATACAGTGTATGTGTATGTGGGTGTGTGTGTGTGTGTAGCGTGTGGTGTGTCTTTCTTCTTTGGTAAATTTATACCCATTGTTAATGCTTAGGCAGGGCTTAATGTGTTTGCTATTGTGAATGAAAGCAGAAGAAGAAGGCGTGGCAAGCTGATTCGTATGTGCAGATGAATCGATATTGGACTGTCCGTCAGCTGGCCTGGTGTGCGGGGTATCTGCTAGTCTTGTACTCCCTGCGAGTTTTAAGTTTTTTTGTGCATTGGCCAGGTCTAATTTATCATCAAACAGGACGCAGAGAACACAAAGGACACGAAGGACATCGTGTGGCCGTGCGGTAATGGAACAGCTGGCTTCCTGGCAGACGCCCGGACGGACGAACGGGCGGGCGGTCTCTCTCGACTCTAAACTGTGACTCCTTCAGCTGCGGGCTGCGTTAATAGTTTATGACTAAATTGAAACAGGTTGTCGAAGCAGCCCCAGCGATGCAGGAAGTGCTTGCCGGCGCTTCCAGCGAAAGGCGCTGCCCACACCACGCCCTCACGCCTCTCCTTACTCTGCGCCCTGTCAATTTGTCAATCAATCGGGCATCCGAATGACACGCTCAGATGCGCCTCGCCTCGTCTCGGCTCGAATGTAACTGAGTCGAGTTTCTGTTTACAGCTAACCAAAATGCGAGTGCACTGAGAGAAATGCTGTAGTGGAAAGCAATTTAAATGAAAGTTTTTTCATTGTTTAAGAAGATTTTTTGTTTCATGCAGCAATTAAAAAAAATGTATATAATAAATTCTTCAAGAAATTGAAATTGAGGTTTGAATTAACCAAGATAAATTCTTAGCATAAGAAAAAATATAAAATCATCATCAGATTAGATAAGTTATCAATCTGCTAGTGACTTCGGTTCAAAGCCTTGCCTCTCTGTCAGCTCATCATTTCTCTCAGTGTACGACTGCATACATCAAGGTGGAAGACGCGTCAAAGCAAAGTCGCCGTCCGTCCGCTCACTTGAGCGCACTTATCCTTTTCGCTGCTCTTCATCGGTGTTTGTTGTCTCTGGCTTATCTCACTTACAAGTAATTGTAATATTATCCCTAATAAGCAAAAGATTGATAGCATTCCAAGGAAAACAACAACAGGGCCACAAAGGGTCGGAGTCAAATCTATGGGCATAGGCAAAGAGCTGCCTCTGCAATCTCAGCGGGCAAGTCGACACCACGACAAGAAAGGACACACACACGCACAGGCACAAGCACATTCCCGCTCAAGTGTTTTCCCTTTCTTTTATCTTGGCTAGTTTATGGTGCGTCGCTCTCTCCCTCTCGCTCACCCTCACACTCTTCTCATCATCACTTGAGTAAACAATGTCATAAAATCATCAATCAATCTGCGACCTCGACTTCGAGTCCAACTTCAAGTTCGGTTTGAGTTCGACTCGACACGCTCCTTAGGCTGTTGTTGTTGCTCGCTTTTGTCATGAGCTATTTGTATGGTCTAACTGTTAAAGGGGGTTGTTGCTGTTGTAGCTGCTGCTGGCTTGGGCTGTTTGACCAGCCTAACTGTTAACGCAAACACACGCCTCTTCCTCTTTCACTCATACTTCCTCTTTCTTTTCTTTCAACTGTCGCTCGGCTCGACTCCGCTCTGCTCTGTTAATACAATTAAGTGTGATATTTGTAATGCTTTTTATGCGACTACCAAATTGCTTTATGGGCGTGCCGCCTATCACAACAAGGCATTGGAAAGAGACAGAGATAGGGTGCGGGTAAGCATACGAATGAGATTTATGAATAAAGGTAAGACATTGCAGCTATCAAGTGGTGAGTGTTAATTGCTTATGAGGATTTAGGAGGAGTTTCTCTGTTTGCCCTGCCGTAATAAATACCTCAATTATGTTATCCATAGGTAAAATTATAAGACATAATAATTATGGTGTTTATTTATAGAACTCATGTTATATAGAGAAGTATATGTAGATAGTTTGGTAGGAAATATAATATATTTAAAAAATAATGATAATATTAATAATAATATTAAAACGAAGGCTCTAGAATGCGATTTAGTAAGAGTGGAAGAGAGAAAAAATTAAATTAATTTTAATTAATTTTATAAGATTTATGATATACAAAATTGAAATATAAATAAATATCTTTCATAAAATAAACAAATTATTATCAAAAAATATTAAAAAACCTTTAAATAATAATATTAAATCACTTAAAAAAATGTTTTTTTAAAATTATATTTAAAATTTATACATAAATCATATTATAAGAAATTATTCATTTATAAAATAAAAAATTAAAAATTAAAAAAAAATATAAAAAAATTGAAAAAATATAAATTGGTTTATTATTTTTTTGTAAGATGTTAAATAACGTATGTAAAAATATATATAAATATATAGTTCGACTTTTCATATACTTCTGTGTATCAGATAATAAAAATTTCAAAGGAATTATTTATTTAATATATGTATATTCATTATAAGTACAAAAATGCTGATAAGAAATGTTATACGACTTAAGAAATTTGTCTATCTGTAATCTTTCTTATATTCTATTTGAATATTAATATTTTTGTTATTTTATATAAATATTTTTAAGATTTTTTCAATTTATTTTGCTCTTTTTCCCCAGATAATTACTTTTATCAAACTTTCTTTTAACCAACCCAGTTTAATGTATTATAGTGAATATATATGCCCATTTATTTATCGTACTATCCTTAGACTGAAACCAAAAGCAACTCCTTAATAAATTCCTATTTCTGAGGTTCTCATCCAAGATCCAATTAGATTAGCACACAGAGCTCATCCTTCAATTTCATTGACATTCGCCGCATTAGGTAAACGTGTGTGTATGTGTGCAACAAGCTGCTGCGGCTGCTGCTGCGGCTGCCGCTGCTGATGTGGCTGCAGCAGGACCAAAAATTAATTACAGCGACCTAGTCAAAGGAGTTGTTATCCTTTTAACAGTAGCTGCTAGACCCACCCCATGTTGAACATGCTCGAGTTGCCTTGTGCTCGATGCAACCATTTGCTGTTAGCTGAGAGCACTGTTACAATTGACTTAACAGTGTATAAGACAGTAGTGTACTGGTTTTACCGCTAGATGGAGCCAATTCATTCGTGGATGTTCGCCTTCGTCAGCCACGACAGTCGGATCTTTTGCCTGAAATTTTGTTGTTGGCTGCAGCATAGACATGCGTTGCAGCTGCCCGACACGCCGCGACGCCTTGGCTCGTGTCAACAGCTCGTGTGCGTGTGTTGCGAGCACGAACATTGGTCGTTCGTTCGGCTGGTTGTATGCTGGCCCTCTGCTTATACTTGTATGATTCAGTCTGATTCAGTCTTTGACGACGCGCGTATTGAAACAGACGGTCAGCCACGGACGCTGTAACGCACTCTGTCTCCATTATCAGTACTAAACGACGTTTCTGTGCTGTGTCACCGCTAGCCAAATTTACCGTTTCGGCTCTAGCAAACTGCTTCGGCCTCGTATCATCGTGATGGCCATAACTGTGTATGTGTAACTGTGTGTGTGCCTGTGCGTGCGACCGTTTGACGGTTTAATTTGAATTTCGGGAATATTCATACTAAGATGCTGATGCCGATCGGAAAAGAAGCTCAAGCAACGCAAAACGAAAAGCGAGTAAAGCGCATCGCCCGATAAATGAACTGAGATTAGAAACGAAACAAAATCACGTTCAGCGGTTGTGTCTTCTCTCTATCACTCTATTGCCCTCTCAGTCACTCAGTCACTGTGCTTGTGTTTGCTCGTCCGTGTATGTGCGTACGCGTGTGCCCCTGTGTGAGTGCTGTGCATGTGTGCCTAACAATTAATTAGCATTTAAATCGCACATTAATCTGCGATCCAATCAAAGGCCAAACAGAAAGAGAGCAAAAAAAAAACAAAATCTGCAGAGTTGCCAACGCGCACAAAAAATAACTGAAAACCCAAGTAAATACGCATAAAAAAAGGATTTGCCAAGTAAGTGTGTCCAGCTGTAAATCTTTAGATTAGCATAAAACAAATACGCAAAAGGCCCAAATTAAATATACACCTGTTATAAAAAATACAACAAAACATGTGGGTGCTCGCAGAACTGCTAAATAAAAAGATTTTCATAGAATTTATATTCCTTACCCAAAAAAAAGCGTTCGCGTTCCATTCAAAAATAAACAAATATTTGCATTAAAATAAACACAAGCCTACCCTATGTACCCCACCACCCCCTCCCTCATCTCGCCTTCTCCTACACCCCTTTCGAAAAACGCTTTCCCTGTATCCCCAGTGCGATTGTTGTCCCTTTTGTTTCTCTATATATTATACCCAGTACCAATTGCTTATGGCTAAATAGGGTACATTGGCTGTGATCTTGTCTAAGTAATAAACATACAGGTAATCGAGGTAATTAAGGTAATCGAAACTGTCAAATCCAGGCTTACGTGATCAATTGCCATTGACGAGTTAATCTTGACCTATCTCAGCTCTCAGCCTTAAAGACATGAACTCTCTTTGTACTACCTGCAGTACAATATGGTTTCAAATTATCGATAAGTTTTTATGACATCAATTTAAATCGATCTCAGATTTTACTCACACAGATAAGTCCAGTTTAGTCAGCCGAATCTGCACTAAAGATATCAAGTTGAGTCCAGCAGCACTTAAACTCTATTTTATATTCTCTCTTCTACGATCTCTTCATTTGTCATCCCCACATGTCCGACTATTCCCATCTCATCTATCTATGCTAGTATATTAGCTACAGTCGCTCAGCACATACTGCGCGGTATCTGCTAGTCGTGCACACCCCACAATAGAACATTTACTTGTTGTTGTTTTGTTTTGTTTTGCTTTTCGGTCATTTGTCTTTTTGGGTCAGCAAATGCGTCCAATTTTTCCGAGATTTTTCGCGAGATTTTCCACAGTTGAATATTTGTTTTTGCTTCTCTTTTTTTTGTGTATTTTCTTTTGGGGTTTTCACAAGTTTTTCTTTCGATTATTTACACATTTTTCCCCAAACACAAAGAATGTCCAAGCAACAATTTTTAAACCCTTTCGCTGATTTCTTATCTGCCTAGATCAAAAGTATGGCCGAGGCATGAAAAGAGAAAAAGCGGAGGAAGAATAGCTAAAGATTTAGAAAAAAGTTTGAACTGATTTGCATTTTAATTGCCAAGTTATAAAATCTTTGGATCTCTATTAGGTAAACGGGGCTAAGCACAGATTTCAATTAGACCAACACAAAAAGGTGTCGAAGACTGGGCCTAGAATGGAAAAGGGGAAAATGAAAAAAACTTGGTTTTTGTTTTTAAATCTCGATTCAGAGCTCCAGATTAGTTCATAATTATATGCAATTAATTACAGCTTGACTTGATTATTTATTTAAATTAAGAATTAGGGCTTAGAAAATAAGCATATTCTATTATTGACTTGATTACTATATGCATAATATACCATATATATGTCTTGTATACATTATACTTAATAGAGAATAATAATTATTCTTAAATAATTTATTGCTTCAAAATTATTTTATAACATTTTACTTAAATTCTATTAGGTATATTTTATAAATTAAAATATAATTAATTTTATAATTAAATTTATGTTGTATATGAACCAAATAAAACCAAAAATCTATAATAAAATATTATGTTTATTTAGTTTAATAAATTTATTTATTTACATAATCAAGTTATAAATCGTATCAGTATATTTGAATTAAGCAAATAAAAATTTAGGTAAAAAGTATTTTATTAGAAGTTTATAAAGATTAATTACTATTTCGTTTATTATGCAAAATATTGAAATGTTTTTTTTTATTACGAAGTTAAACGTATTTGTTTTTAACTATTTAATAAATTTATAAATTGAGAGAATTTAAATACAATGTGCATATGCTTCAAATATCACAAAATATTTATATATATATTTCTTTATAATAATCTAAAAAAAAGAACCTAAAATTATTTTACAAATCTTAAAAATTCTCTTAAATTGTCTCAATTCATTAAAATTAAGATGCTGCCCATAAAATCTTAATAATTCTTTCTCATAGACCCTATGCAGTGTCGCATTTCTGACAATTTTTATAATGCCTAATCAACTCAAAGTTCTGGCTTAATGCTCTATTGACTACAACATGTTTACCAGATGAGCTTGACCTTCTTTCCCACTCGCATAATCTTAATGCTGTTCGGTAGCCCAGAAGACAAAGCCCTTGACTTATATAGATGTGGTTCTTGGCCCCTTAGGCAAACACAGCACTAATTGAAGACACACACACCCATGAGTGTGTGTGATAAGATCTCGGCAGCTTTATCCAATTTGATTCCAATTGTCAACCTCTCGGCGATCGTTCAGCCATTAGGAGCCAACAAGCGGCCAAGCGGCACGTCTGGCTAGAAGACTTCCCAATCTGTCCGCTTCCCACTGTGCTCAACTGTTGCCATAAATCGTGCCAGCACCAAAATGGAAATAGCGCATTTCCAAAATATTTTCATTTAAAAACCGAAAGTGAAAATGCCGTTAAAAAGAAAATAAGAGCACAAACGCATATACTTATCTATGTATATATATTTTTATTTTCCGAGAGGGCTGAAATAATAGAGGCAACGCGAAAAGCGGGCAGCATCAACATTCATCAATCTGTCAGTGGGGCCTGTCAGCTGGTTTAAGCACCCACAAAGTGCTGTTGAGGCAACGACAACAACAACAACATCAACCGAGTCCCGATAAAAATTGAAGCACAGATGAGAGGCTAAACAAAAAAAATCATTGAAATATTTAAATGTGCTTAAAAAATAGAAGAAGAGAGCAAAGAGCAGAGCAAAGTCGAAGCTTAAATGCCTTAGGCATATTTTCTATATTTTAGACTGTCTAATTAGAATTGTTTATACATGTAACCAAGGTGTTCTCTCACCTGCCGCTCTTGAATGACACTGTTAAACCGAGTTCAACACAGCGTAAACTGGCAAAGGCTGAGTAGTTGGCATCAAAAAGTAATACGAAATCATTTGCTCACATTTTGCCTGCTGTTTGTTGTTGATAAGAAAGTTTTTTTTTCTTATATTTTGTTTATTTGACAATGTTGCTTAGTCTATGAATCGAAAGGTTATAAATCAGGTCTTGTGATTTTTAAATACAATAATCATTTATAATTAAATTGCCTTGAAGCTAAGGTCTAATTGCATTAAAGATAAGGTGAAGTCCTATTGCTGGCAGACAGTTTGACAGTCAAATAGTTGTTGTGATTATCCAGTTTTTGCTTAAGCCTTAGATCTGTTTGCAGATATATCTTTAGAATATCTTTAGCTCTATGTTTCACCAATTTTCTTAGCAGTTTCAACTAAAACTCTCTCCCTAAGTGCATGCTTAAGGCACAATTTTAATTACCGCCAAAGTATTCAGCTTAAGACTCAACTAGAAGTTCTAGCTCAGCATCCAGAGTCCTTGGTTTCTTTTAGTTACTTGTAAATTCTTTGTCAAACTGCTGTCTAGTATATATGTAGATAATCTATATTCAACTGAACCTGTACCAAACTCCAAGCCCAAATAATATTCATCAACTAAATCTATTGTCTGCACATATTCCCAGTCCGAGCACAAATCATAAATATTAACGATCTCACAGATCGCTTCAACATATGCCGCTGCAAGCATATAAAAAATATCTGGCTTACTCCTCTTTTGGCCATAAAAGCAAAGCAAGGCAAAGCAAAACGTTGTACTTCCATTTGGCGCGTCTCGCCACGCGCAAAACGTGCGCCAATCAATTGGCCCTCAAAAGAAAAAGCCAGAAAAAAGCGTGTGAAACTGCTCGACTCCCACGGCTGAGACAAATTAATGAAAAGGCGACGAGCGTTGTCTTTAAAATTAGAGACAAAGGCAATTTGTCTTTGGCAATCGCTCAATATAAAGGGAAGCGCGGAGGGCGAGCAGTGGCTGAAGATACAGATACACTCGAAAATGTATCTGGCAGATACATTTGATGCGCCGACCGCTCTGCAGCTATTAAGCGCGCGTGTTGATTGATTTTATGTTTGAAATGTATACTGCAGTTTTCACAATTTCTACTCGAAATACTGCTCACATATATATATATATATACTATATATCTCAGTGAGCTGTATGCCGAAAAAGGCAAGAAAAAGAAATTGAATTCCCAAAACTCAGCTGCTAAATCAATCGACACTTGAGGCTGCGTTTCAGGAGTCGCCTGCATTTCTCGTTGCATGTGTTGTTGTTGTAGTTCCTGTTCTTGTTATTGTTGGAGTTAGTTGTGTTTAATTACACTCACGCACACACTTGTATGTATAGCTAGCTACACATAAGTTAAGTGTGTCCCCTAATTCCAAACCGTCCCCTAATTCCTAAACGTATATAACTTATTAAAGTATGTCATCTCTTTCGCTCACTCTTTACTACCATTACTTCCTCTCTTTCTCTGCCTCGCACTTTCTCTGTGCGTTTCTCCAGCCCTTTTTGAACTTTTCTCAACACTCCGTTAAATAGATTTCAGTGTCGCTGTGCACTTAGACGCTGCTCTGTTTGTTGTACTTGCCCTACAAATTGATTGATTTTATTTGCACTCCCACACATGCTTCCCACTCCGACTCCCACTCCCTCTCTCTGTTGGCTGTGCGTGTCTGTGGCTTTTAGGCGGTAACTGCCAAGAAGTTGGGAAGCTCTGCCTGGTCTGGTGGGGCGCTAGTTGAACATTGACATTTTGCGGTTAACTCATTTACACAGTTGAAGCGTTGTCTTTACCCTTTATGCCCTCTGCGCTTTGCGTTGATGGACATGTCGGTTACGCTGCAATGAGACTGGCTGACAGGCCCCGGCAGAGCTTTTAACTTAAAGGCAGAAAAGATAACTAACTGTTTTCCTCTTCAAGCTAAGGTTTTAATAGGCCAAGAGATAAGGAATTGGAAAACTAGGCAACGGAACGCTTAGAGCTAAAATAGTTTTCTTGTAAGGTGAAG